CAAAGATAAACACTTTTACATACATAATACTTCATTATCAAACATTAATCTACAGGTACATAGCTAGACAGGCTAAATGATCAGGTATGTCTAGGCAAACAGGAATATACCCACAACCATATGTAAGTTTGGAAGATGGTATTTCTACTCTTATTTGTATGTGTTATAAGAATGACATATAAATAGAACTAGCAGGAGGCAAAATAATGATAACTTCTTAGTCACAGTCAACCATCCTGCTGGATAGAGTTGTTGGTCCTGTGGGCTCAGGACCATGGTCATGGGGAACATCAAACTCAATTTATATAAAAACTATACAAACATATTTCTCCATCCTACTATGGTGAGTAGTGACCAGAGTCTTAAAAGCTTGCATGTGACTATCTAGATGCAACAATGGGTCTCTCCTCCTCCAGAGGAATGAAGAATGAAGAAAACCAAAGATGCATAGAAACAATTAGTCCAAGGGACTAGTGGAACATGAGTACTTAAGCCTATATGACCATAAGACCAGAACTAGATGGTACCCAGCTACTACTGTCAACCACTCAGAAAGGGATCAGTGCAGGAGATCCTGGATAGAGTAGGAAAAGGAAGTGTAACAAAATTTGAAATCATAAAAAAAAAAAAAAAAAAAGACCAGGCTTACTGATCTGATACTGAAACCTCTGAGACTATGGCCCCTAGTCACCCTTCAGGCCTGGAATTGCACTCCCTCCTATGGCTCCCAACCAAACAATAGACAGGCATGTAAGGTGAACATTTACACCAGGTAGGTATACTTCTTAGAACAATCATGGGAAATCAGAAGGGCAGTATTTGCACAGCGAGATAGCTCAGAAGGCAGGAATGTATGGGAAAGAAGGACATAGGGAAAAGGTAACTACAAGGAGGAAGTGGGAAGAGAGCTGCTACATTATGGGGACTGCAATCAATGTCATGGAACAAAATGTGTACGAACTGTTGTATGGAAAATGAATTTGCTCTGTAAACTTTGATCCAAATAATATTGGGGGAAAAAAAAACAAAGAAAAGAAAGAAGATGAAAAGAGTATATAGAGTCAATGTACTAGTCAATGTTCACTCATTTCAGGAGGTTGCATATGATCAAGAACCAATGGTATTGAAGGAAGAAGTCCAAGCTGTATTGAATGAATTTGCAAAAAAAACAAGGCTCCAGGAAATGATGGAATACTCATTGAGACGTTTCAACAAATGGATGCAGCACTAGAAGTGCTTACTCATTTATGCCAAGAAACTTGTAAGACTGCTACCTGGTCAACTGACCAGAAGAGTTCCATATTTTGCCCATTCCAAAGAAATGTGATCCAGCAAAATATGGAAATTGTCGAACAGTATCATTGATATCACATGCAAGTAAAATTTTGCTGAAGATAATTCAAAAACCATGCAGCAATATACTGACAGGGAATTGCCAGAAATTCAAGCTGGATTCAGAAGAGGACATGGAACAAAGGATATCACTGCTAATGTCTGATGGATCTTGGCTGAAAGCAAAGAATACCAGAAAGATGTTTTACTGTCCATGCAACAGCATTTAACTGTGTGGATCATAATCAATTATGGGTAGCATTACAAACAACGGGAATTCCAGAACACTTCATTGTGTCCATGAGGAACCTGTTCATTGACCAAGAGGCTGTCATTCAAACAGAACATGGGAACACTGCATGTTTTAAAACCAGGAAGGCTGTACATCAGAGTTGTATCCTTTCACCACTCAATCTGTATGCTGAACAAATAATCCAAGAAGCTGGACTATATATATAAAGAATGCTGCATCAGGATTGAAGGAAGACTCATTAACAACCTGTGATACAGAATTGACACAACCTTGCTTGCTGAAAGTGAAGATGACTTGAAGCACTTACTGATGAAGATCAAAGACCTCAACATAAAGAAAACAAAGATCCCCACAAGTGGACCAATAAGCAACATCATGATAAATGGAGAAAAGATTGAGTTGTCAAGGATTTCATTTTACTTATATCCAATCAACACCCATGGAAGCAGCAGTCAATAAATCAGATGTCAAGGGAAGGGGAGGGAACGCTGCAAAAATTGGGGGGAGGGGCATTGGAGACAAATTCTAAAAAAATAAAACAAGAAAGAAATCAGACGTCATATTGCATTAGGCAAATTTGTTATAACAGACCTCTTTAAAGTATTAAGAAGCAAAGATGTCACTTTGAAAACTAAAGTGTGCCTACTCCAAGCCATAGTATTTTTAACTTCTTCATATGCATGTGAAAGTTGGACAATGAATAAGGAAGACCAAAGAAGACCTGATGCCTTTGAATTATGGAGCTGGTGAAGAACATTGAAAATATGATGGACTGCCAGAAGAATGAAAAAAATCCGTCCTGGAAGAACTACAGCCCAAATGCTCCTTGGAAGCAAAAATGGCCAGATTTCATCATCTTTGACTACTTTGGTCATGCTGTCAGAAGGAATCATTCCCTAGAGAAGGCTATCCTGCTTGGTAGAGGGTCAGCAAAGAAGGGGAAGACCCCCAATGAGATGGAGTAACACAGTGGCTGCAACTATGGGCGTAAGCACAGCAGGGATTGTTGAGGAGGGTGCACGACTGGGCAGTGTTTTATTCTGTAGTACTATAGGGTCGCTGTGAGTCAGAGTCGACTCGATGTCACCTAATAACAACAACAAGGTGATCATTTACACCAGGTAGGTACGCTCCTCAGAGCAATCATGGGAGAGTAGAAGGGCAGCATTTATGTAGAGCGATACCTCAGAGGGCCGGAATACATAGGAAAAGACACAGAGAAAAGGAAACCACAGGCAGGAAGTGGGAAGAAAGCTGTTACATTATGGGAAATGCAATCAGTGTCATGAAACAAAATGTGTATGAACTGTTGAATGGAAAACAAATTTGCTCTGCAAATTTTCACCCAAATAACGGTATATAAATAAATAGAATATGATTGGAACAATTGGTGGAATCTGAATATGGGAGATATCATAAATTATAGTATTTTATCAATGTTAAGTTTCCTGAATTTGATCATTGTATTGTGGCTATGTGAGAGAATGTTCCTGTTCATACAAACATGCTGAAACATTTAGCAGTATAGGAGAATGCTGTCTACAACTTTCTTTTAAATAGTTCAGAAAAAAAGTAATACTGTATGAATATATCTGCATGTATCTTAGAAAATAGCTTTATTAAAATATAATTTACATATCATAAAGTTCAGTATACAATTCACAAGTCAGTGGCTTTTAGTACATTCACAAAGTTATACATTAATCACAATTCCAAAATAGCCAATCTAATTCCAAATTCCAATCTAAAACCTTTCTATCATCCCAAAAAGAAACCCCATACCCATTAGCAATCACTTCCCATATCCTTATCCCCCAGTACACATACATTGGGAGCTCTGGTGGCATAATGCCTACGGCATTTGACTGCTAACCAGAAGGCTGGAGGTTCAGATCCACTCCGTGGAAAGAAGGGTGGGTAATCTACGTCTGTAGTGATACCGCCTCAGAAACCCAAGGAGGAGTTGCTATGAGTCGGATCTGACACAACGCCAGTGATTGAGTTAGTGAATGATACATGCATTTAAAAAAAAAAAAAAAACCTAAAAAAGAAGAGAATAGACCTCAAAATATTAACTCTGGTTATTTTGGGATACTGGAATTATGGCTGAGTTTAATTTAATTAATTAACTTATTTATAAGAGCTCCTGGATGGTGTAAATGGTTAATGAGCTTGGCTGCTAACCAAAAGGCTGAAGTTTCAAGCCCACCCGGAGGCACCTCGGAAGAAAGTCCTGAAGATCTACTTCTAAAATATCAGCCATTGAAAACCTTACGGAGCATAGCTCTAGTCTGACACACATGAGAGTACCATGAGTTGGAATCAACTTGACAGCAACTGGTTTTATATTTTTATATTATGGAACAATTTTGTATTACTTGTTGTTGTTATTTGCCATCAAGTCAGACCCGACTCATAGCGACCCCTCCTTGGGCTTCCGAGGCAGTTTCACTACGGAAGTAGACTGCCCAACCTTCCTTCCGAGGAGTGGCTTGTGGGTTTGAACCACCAGCCTTTTGGTTAGCAGTCAAGTGCCTTAAGCACTACACTACTATAATATTAAAAAAATAAAGATTATTATTTTAAAAGATTAAGAGGGAATTAAGGGGCAACAAGAACTCCCAAAACATAAAAATCATCATATTCAAGTAATGTCCCTAGGATGTACAAGAGATGATTTCCCAATTCCTCAATATACTATCATCAAAAAGGTCTAAGCAGGGGCAAAGGCATGCATATTATATATTGCTCATCTTTATCATGGAATTCCAGTTGGCTCTCTAGAGGAACAGGTTCAGCTAGTTCAGCTGACATGGACTGTTGACTTCTGTGTGCCTGGCACTAACCCAAACACTGTGTCTGCCCTGTGCACAGCTAACAGGCTGGCACAGGCCACTCAAATATAAAATAAAGGCATGACTGACACAATAGAGTGGGGCTCTCAGGAAGGAAAGGCAAGGCTGGGTAATTCAGCTCAATTAGCCCAGGGCAGATATCAATGAGAAAATACTCAGGCTGTCTGTCCTTTAGGAGTTAGGGAGCTGCTGTGGGGAAAGACCTACCAGTAATCATTACAATATTATTTGAATAGGGATGGGGTGGGACAGAGGGATGGGTATACCTGGGAATTTAGGGAAGGTCATGCAGAAGGAGACTTGGCTGGGGGCTAATGGACAAACGCAGTTGCCTCTCAAAGCTCTTCCAGCCAGGCTTGGTGGTGCTGGTGGTGCTGCTGTTAGGTACCTTTGGGTTGGTTCGGACTCAAGCAACCATATTCACAACAGAATGAAACACTGCCCAGTCCTGCACAATCCTCCCAGTATTTGCTTGAGCCCGTCATTGCTGCCACTGTGTCAATTCATCTCATTGAAGGTCTTCCCCTTTTTCGCTGACCTTCTATTTTACCAAGCATAACCCTTCTGCAGGAGCTCTGGTGGCATAGTGCCTAAGGCATTTGACTGCTAACCAGAAGGCTGGTGGCTCAAATCTACCAGCCACTCCTCAGAAGGAAGACTGGGCAATGTTTCCATAGAGATACCTCCTCAGAAACCCAAGGAGGGGTCACTATGAGTCAGATACGACTCCATGGCAGTGGGTTTGGTTTGGTTTGGTTTTTAATATCCTTCTCCAGGGACCAGTCCCTTCTGACAATATGACCAAAGTATGCAAGAGGAATTCTGTTCATTCTCACTTCTAAGGAGCATTATGGCTGCACTGCTTCCAAGACAGATATTTTCATTCTTCTGGTAGTCCATTGTATTTTCAATATTCTTCACCAACACAATTCAAATGCCAGCCAGGCTTATTGTTAGTTAAAATACTGCCCTCTCTGCTACCCACCTGTCAGCAAGCCCCACTAATTAAACACCCACATTAATAGAGAGGCACCCACTCTCTTTTTGTGTACCTTGTTTTCTCTGCTTCTAGATTATAAATTCCTGGGGGAAAGAAGACTAAATTTTATCCTTCTTTAAATAAAGCACCAACACAAAATAATGCTGTTGTTAGTTGCCCATGAGTCCATTCATCTCATGGCAACTCAAGTGTGCAGGATCGAATAGCTCCATTGGATTTCCAAGGCTGTGTGCGATCTTTTGAAAGCAAATTGCGAGGTCTGTCTTCCAAGGTGCCTCTAGGTAGGTAAACACAAAATAGGTACTCAAAAAACATCAGCTTGTGCCTTGCACAAAGGGATTCAGTAAGCATTTGTCCAACTATTTCTAGGTATAGTACTAGAAAATAATTTGATTTACAAAAACCCAGAAGAACCTATATTATTGATAACTTAGCTTGGCAAAGTTTTGTTGTTTTTTTTTTTTTTTTTCCTTTTCAAAGTCTTCTCCACTACCTAATTATCCATTTTACCCTCACGGTAATGTTAGAAATTAACCAGAATAGGCATTTATTTATTCATCCTCATTTTCAACATGAGGACTCTTGGGCTGGAGAAGGTAATTTGTCCAAGATTACCAAGTGACATGGGAGCAACCTCACATCACGGATTTTCTGACTCCTAAGACCATACCTTTCCTATTACAACATTGGTCCCTTTTAATTCTGGCATCTGTCACTGTCTTTTACCATACAAAAAAAAAAAAAAAAAAACTGCAGCTAAAATAAAGACAAACTGAAAATATAAAACAGTAAGACTACTAGAAGGATGTACAGTGAGTTATTTTAATTATCATGAGGTAGCATGTCACAAAAGCCCAAAAGCCAGAGCCAGATTTGACTAAATGAAAAATTTTAAATTCAGTATCAAGAAAGACACCATTAAAGTAGCTCAAGTTAACACATAGCCTTATTTCTCATACTCATTTTACCCACTCAGTATTTTTCAAAATGTTTTTGGCTCTCCTTGACATTATTCTTTTCCCTGTAAGTTTTTAGATCAGTATAAGTTCCACACAAAAATCCTACATCATTTAGAATTTAATGTGATCTATAGTAAAAATTAGTATCTATACAATATTAAGTTTTCCTATTCATAGATACTGCAAAACTCTCCAATGGATCAAGTCCTTTCTGTCTTTTACTAAAATAGTACGGTTTCTATATGACTTGCAGCTTCCTATTAAATTAATTTCTAGATATGTAATATTTTTATCATGAACGAGATAATCTATTCTATGAAATTTTACAGTTGGTATTGTTCTTGTATTTTATTTATATAATTTTTGTTTGTTGATCTTATATCAGGTCATACTGTTGAATTCCCCAGTGCAGTGCAACAAATTACTTGGTACCGCGTTTCTAGCCATAGTCTTTGTAATTTCCACCTGATTACAGGATTGTTGTTGTTATGTGCCATCAAGTCGTACCTGACTCATAGCAACCCCTCCTTGGGTTTCCGAGGCAGTATCACTACAGAAGTAGATTGCCCAACCTTCCTTTCAGGG